TCGTTAAAGCTCACCCTGAGCAAGTTCAGGTGAGCTAAAAAAGCAATAGTAAAATTCTTACATTAAACTTTTATAAATTGAAAATTGAAAAAAGCTTTTGATATTTGAAGATAATTTATTTTAGACGGCTTTGCCTACTTGGTCTCGTTTATGTATCTAGATAAAAATTACATGATAAAGTAGGAGTTTCCAAAATTCAATTAATATGCTTGTTTAAAAACAATTCGGCAGAATATACAGATTTGTCTGTTAAACAATCAATTCTAGCCTAATGGCATTGAATTCTTTAAGCTGCAAATCCCCTCTGTGTCTGGAATACAATGACAATTCTAGAACTCGAATAGTGAAAATGATTCTTAATGCCAAATCTTAAAATACATTCAATTAATTACGTTTATCATCAAGGAATGACATTTTGAAGTATATTATTTGTATCATTTGGCTGATTTCATATGGACATTTATGTTGTCTCTTCATTCCGTAAATTCGGGGTGTCTACAATAATTAAATATTATTATGAACGACGTCATGAAATGTACCAAATTAAAATACATACACATTTACAACAATGTTTATAAATGTACGCTATTGTTTAAACGTTTGGTCTAAATTGTACTTTAAACGTACGAGATAACCTTGAAATAACACGCTGAAAGTATTTCTCTGTGGCGTGGAAATATGAGTTCAATTATGCAACCGTGTCATGTTACAGAAGTTTAATTGAAACATGTTTTTATATTGCTTGTTGTTCCTTTTTGTTGTTTTGATAAATTAGATACTGTTCAGATAATCAATTGTGTACATCTCCCATGTGAATAATCTCTGCATCCGTGTTAAACATCAATCAATTTGAATAGTTATACCCTGCCTTAAAACATCACGAATATGTTTCAGGTTTCAAAGTTATCGTGTACTTAAATGCGTTGTTAGGCACGCGCGTTTCATAAAGATAATTGTATATTTGTTATGTATTTCATCGATGTGTAATAAAAACTATACTTTTCAAGATTTTGGTTATTTTTTTATAAACTTTTATTATTTTAAGTATACAAAATTGTGTCACTCGGTGCCAAATTATATAACTGTAACCTTACCTAAATAATTAATAATTGATCAAATAGTTTAACTGTTTTTTATATCGGCATACGTTCTCTTCTAGATATGAACATATTTAAAATAGTATATTTTGATAAAAAATTATCAGTTATTATCTTAATTGAAAAGGTAATGCGATAGAGCAAATTCTATGAATAATATATTGAGATGTAATTACGTTTTTCTGCGGTACAATATTAGTTATAAAAATGTTGATTTATTTTGTCATAGTCATAGATAAAATTTCCCCATATAATTAACACAATTGATAATAAGCGAAGTCAAACACACAAGAAATAAAATAAATGGATCACCTAAAATGTACTATCCCATCTTTCAAGGAATGTATTTGTTATTACTCATGCTCTTGTAAAACCCAGTTGGCAAAATCTGATCAAATGGTGTCACGAAATTTCCATGCATAGTGTTGCAGCAAACCCATTTGTCACCATAATATTTGAAACAGTTTGACAGAAACAATTATTACAACTAATTGACATATCGTGAGTATAAAACGGATTCAAATAAATGTCCTTTGTATATTAAGTAAAAGTACTTTGGTATATCCGGTTATTTAAGGGTAGTGCAGTGAATTTATTTGACATTCTGTCGCTTGTAACGTGTCATCAGACTTTGGTGTAATTACTTTTTTCTCATTTATTGATATCAATTATATATTTCTGTCTCAACCAGATAGCCTGCAGACTACGCTGAAGTAATGATCACAATCCATAAATAGGCACAAATAATTGCGTTTTTTTGTCCTTTTATTGTGATATGTTTCTCATAATTTTATAATTTCCTCTTACTTGTAAAAATGCTCTTGTTCTTTGTTCGTTACTTTATTATATATCTATTAATGCTTTACAAACTAGTTCCAACATTAGTTTCCGCTGCATTATCTTATGAAATATATATAGCATCAACATTTATAGGACCATGATTGCCTTCTGGTATTGAAGCAAAATTATTCAAACATAATAAACAGATTAGCTTAAGGAGATTAAATAGGAACTTTTACTTTTAGCCAAGCTTGTTATGTGAAACCTAATGGAGATTACTTTAAAGAATGAGTTTTTCTTATGCGAGTTGTTTGGGAGTGGGACATTTCTCACTATTCGTTGTCTTTCATTAACAGACTAAATGTATGATGTCATTCGTCTTGTCGTTCCATTTTGATTTTAATTTTAGATAGTTTTAATTATGATATCATAAACGATACCGATGTAGCAGTGGTATTCACACAGAAATATAAGCTTATTATAAGGATAATATCAAAAGAATAATTATAGTTATTATGGTAAGGTCGAGAAAAGGCAAAGTCTCATTAATGTAGTTGGCTCAAGAATCTAAAAGTACTCAGTCAGTTAATTTATTGTTTCCGAGTAATGATTGTTAATCTCCCTTAAATATTTTACAAACTTTTTTCATTTGAATGGCAATCAAATTGGGACACACAGTCCTTAAATAAAAGTCTCGATTTATCAACATCTATATCACTTTTAAACCGTCACAATCAATTATTTCTTTTCTGGAATAGATAGAAGCATTCTTAAAATTTAATCTCAAAAAACGTTGCAAACGTCTTTGATTTTTTTTGCTAAGAACTTTGACTACTGTGACCAGTTTATGTAATTATATACAATTACGTCATACAGTAGGAATTCCCACAATATAATTAATATGCTTGTAAAAGTACAGTTGGATGGGGGTGGAGGTGCAATACAGATTTGTCTGGTCTTTTGATAGTCGTTTACTTCAAACTGCAAATGCCATTATTTTCAATCATCTCTGTTGTTAGAATACAATTTGGCATTCGTAGGAATAGAATGGTGAAAAACTGTCTAAGTGTCAAATCTTAACATATATCAAATTAATTTAACTTTTATGATTCTTATCAAGAAATTAAATGTTGAAGAAGGTTATTTGTATTATATTGCTTAATTCATATGGATATTAACACATTTTCATTTCGCAGGAATTTTTATATATCATCATCAGCGTTGCATGAAATCCACAACATTTAAATGCTTAACAATTATATATACAAATCAACATTATGTAGTCTTTTTATAAAATTTGTCATTTGTTTTAAATTGTACTTTAAATGTACGAGTTTACCGTAAAATAACACGCCGAAAACAAATAATTCGTAATGGCGTGGTAAGAATTTTTTTTTCAATTATGTGCACCGTGTTGTGTTGCAGGAAATTCAATGACAAACAGATTTTGCTTTATTTGATGTCTCTTTATGTTGTTTTTGATGAACTAGATATTGTTGTTTAGATAATCAATTTTGTACTTCTCCCACGAGAATAATCTCTTCCAATTTTTTGCTTAACATCTATCAATTTGAATAATGAAAATACGCCTTAAAACATCACGGATATGTTTTAAGTTTCAAGGTTATCGTGTTCTTTAAAGTAATTTTCAGGTAATCGCGTATTGTTTGTTGTATCATAGTTTGGGGAACTTTCTGTTGAAAATGTGTCCGAGTTAAATCGTATACATATACATGCACCGTGCGTTAACTGGAATGCAGGACTATTGGTTACCCGCACTCCAGAGTATGCCCATTGATTGGCTCATTTTTGCTGGGGTTTTACTAATTGTGACGGCAGAGAAAGGGATAGCGACAGAAATATCATATTTAGATGCTCGTTCATTGGTTACTTTTCTCCGAGGTTACATATTGTGATAACAGGGAATGTGTTTTTATGTTTGACTATGATACAAAAGAGAAAGAACATCAAAACAATCGGCAATCTGATTAATACTCGGGTGGGGGGTAACGCCCCCTCGTTCAAATCAGATAGCCTCGTGTATTGATGCTCTTTCTATTACAATGTATGTTTTTGTTATGTATTAAATTGCTGGGTATTTAAAGAAGTTCTTCTCTGCATTTGTGATAATTTATAAATACTTTTTAATAAACTAATCTGACGTACAATATTGTTATATGACTGACTGTACAAATAAACATATTTTAAAGCCAACTAAAGACATTTTCTTTTTGGATTAATCTAAAGTCACACCAACACTCTATGTTTTCTGGGTTTTAACGCCTGCTGAAACAGTCACGTGTTTTCATCATATTTCGACATTCGATCCACTTAACTGACTTTTTTTAAGTCACACAAACACTCAATGTTTCCTGGACTTTAACGCCTGCTTAAACAGTCACGTGTTTTCATCAAATTAGACATTCGATCCAATTAACTGGCTTTTCTGGATAACTAACCAGTAGTTAGTTAGTTAGTTAGTTAATCATCCTACATGATGTCTGTATCATCGTTGAGAGAGAAATGATCATTAAACTAAAAGTCCCAGATCAACTGTCAGGGAGAAATTACGCCTCGGCCGAGAATCTAACCAGCAACCACTTGTTTACTTAACAACGCTGTAATGGCATATCTTCTAGCAACAATCTTATGGTCATACCTTCTTGATTCACTGATAACAGAAGACATCAGCAACTATTTCGAGCATTATTTCAGGCGCTAGTTGGCACCTGAACAGTACTATTCAAATATATCAATGACCTCATAGTATACATGTCATATTACGCATCAATTTCTCTTACTATATTAGTAACACGGCAGACCTTTGAACATTTGTAATATTTTGCATAAAACATCCGAAATTCAACCTTATTTGTAAATATATGATTCCATATTAACTACAGTTTATATTAGCATGATTAATACGTAACTTAAGTCCTCATATTTTCCGAATTGTTGCTATCCTTGATTATTTTTTCAATCAGCAATTATAACTTATAAATGCCGGTTCGATTAAAGGTATTACCATTCTAATGCATTACTTCCGCTTTGAAGGGTATTCAAATAGGCTAGAACTACTGTTAACTACATTGAAAATGAGGGCCGTGGGTTCAATCTCCTGGGCAGCGTCTTACTAACATTGCGTAAGTTTTTCGTAAGTATTTTCGTAACTTTACGCTTACGTTTAAACTTACGTAAATCGTTAGTGTGTTTCACAAAACGTTCGTAAGTTTTTTCTTAAACTTACGTTAAAACAGTGCGTAACTCTTCAAAGAAGGTTTTCAGAATTAGTCGATAAGGAGGCGTTTTAGTAATATTTATAATGACCGCAAACATTTTTGAAAAAGGCTAAACTGGTATTTCGTAGTCATCTACGACACTAGTAACTACAGACACTCATGAATGTTGCTGAGCAATTCTTATTTTTAAGTTCATATTGTGCCACACACAGGGGTTTCTCCCGATTTTAAATTAATGCATTTATAGAGTAGAAAGGAAAACCCCATATGATCCATCATGGAAGATATTGAAAGGGTTTTTGTTTGTTCTGAGAAGTGAAAAAACTGTTATGTCCGCAAGTAAAAATGTGGATTTTTTAAAATATTTTTATATGAAATATTTAGCTTATTCACATAACCCACATTTATAAAAAAATATTTTTGTTTCTATTTATTTATTTATTTATTTTATGTCTATAAAGTAAAGAAAACCCTTTGATTTTTAGCTCGACTATTCGAAGAATATGAGAGATATTGTAGTCGCCCCGGCGTCGGCGTCGGCGTCAGCGTCGGCGTCGGCGTCTGCGTTGGTTAAAGTTTTTTGTAAAGTCAAATATCTCAATTATTACTTGAGATATTCAATTGAAACTTACAATACTTATTTATAGTAACAAGGTACATCAGAATGACAAGTTGGATAACTCTGCCTACAATATTGACAGAATTATGCCCCTTTTTAACTTAGAAATTTTGGTTAAAGTTTTTTGTAAAGTCAAATATCTCAATTATTGCTTGAGATATTCAATTGAAACTTACAATACTTATTTATAGTAACAAGGTACATCAGATTGACAAGTTGGATAACTCTGCCTACAATATTGACAGAATTATGCCCCTTTTTAACTTAGAAATTTTGGTTAAAGTTTTTTGTAAAGTCAAATATCTCAATTATTGCTTGAGATATTCAATTGAAACTTACAATACTTATTTATAGTAACAAGGTACATCAGATTGACAAGTTGGATAACTCTGCCTACAATATTGACAGAAAATGTAAAGTTTTGCTTGTAAGCTGTTATCTCAATAACTACTGAAGGGTTTGTGCCTTTTTTGGGACAATTTTATGCATTCATAATAATAAAGCAGTGATTTACTTGATAAAACATCTTAATAACAAGCCTTTGTACCTTTTCTGTCAAATTTATGTATTCATAGGTAATTAGTATTATTATACTCAATAAAACACCCTTGTGACATTACCTTCCGAATAGTCAAGCCAATACTGTATAATTAGACTCTCTCTAAGGCCTATAACATGAATTTATAAAAAAAAATTAGCCCTTTTGTGAACTTAAAAAATTTAACATTATCAAGGCTCTTTTACTATCAAGCACTTAGAATAGTCGAGCGTGCTGTCCTACCGACATCTCTTGTTAAAGATTTTACGCTAAAACATGCGTAAAAAGATGACACAAAAACGCTACATGCAAACAAAAGATATTCACGATTTTATCTTATGGACGTAATGCTATCTGAATATTTGCAAATAAAAAACAACTGCAACAGATATTTTTATGTACATTTGCGAATCATACTATTTAATGAACATATATATAGAGGGTATTCAAGTTTTAACTATAAATTCAGGATTTATTTTCATCGATTTGTATGAAAATAAATATTTCATGGGCGACGGTATCTACGAGTGATATATGCTATTTTTATACCAAAAGATGAAAATAAATCCTGTATTTATATTAAAAACATGAATTTTCTGTTTATTATATACATTTTTTACATTTAAAAAGACTTTCCCTAAAATTTTGTATTTTGGCTGAATTAAACCCATCAAGACACCTGTGAAAATATGGAAAATTTGTTTCACTTCTGAAATCAATAAAAATACGAAAATATGTTTCACAGCAGTGAACATACGGAAAATGAAAATCATCAACATTTCTCAATACATGTTTTTCATTTAAAAGTCTATAATGAAAGACTTTACTGAGTTTCAGTCAATATTATATGTCATTTATAAAATTCTCAATACATTTTGATGTAAATCAGCATCAAAAGCTCGTGAAAGTAAAATAATATAAAACACTTAATAACTGATTTATAATAAAATGAACTTGGGGTCGAGGTCAACGACGATTAAGGGCGGTATGGAATAAAAGTTTATTTTTAGAGAAGAAGATAAAAGACTTTAAGCTGATAGGACGATTTCCATATTCGTATATGTTTTTTGCTTAATATAATTAAAGTCCGTAAAGCTACATTATCCTTTCCTTACTTAGACTTTACTTTTCTAGAGCCGCGTTCACCATTAAAATATATTACCAATCACATCCGTCTCTAAAATTCTCGCTTTCCTGCTCTACAATTATTCATAGATGATGTCAGTCTTACTTACGTAAGTTTTAAGTCAACAAATTTTAAGCGTAACTTTACGTAAAAACTTTCGAAATTCTTACCTACGCAAATTTTTAGTAAAACGCTTTTACGTAAAAAATCAGACGTAAGTTATAACTTACGAATATCTTAGGCGTAAGTACGTTAGTAAAACGCTGCCCAGAAGAGTAAACTTTTTTTCTTTCCTTTTTTCTTTTGAAATTATTTATGTATCTCTCATGTCCCTTTTGGAAAGAAAAGGATGTTTAATTTTGATTTTTGTAATGTATATAGGTATTAATTGGCTAAATTATGCTAAATCTAGTAATAAATATGGTACCTGATATTTTCAAAGTGTAATAAAATCAAAACTAGACAGTCAAAGTATTTCATATTATGGAAACTTTGAAAACAGCCACTCATTTGGGTAAATTTTAAGGTATTTTTAATATTATTAGGTTCCCTTATGGTCAGACACATGGATAAATGGGGGGGGGGGGTAGGGAACATTTTATACAGATCTCATAAATTTTAAGTAGAAACCATAATTTTGCTTAAGGTGGATTATTAGCTAAATGGTATTATTTGTTTCTTACCAAACGTTAATGGCAAAACATTTTTCATTAGAATTTTATTGCAGATTATTTAAAGGTTCCTCATTTCTAAAAAAGGGCCCTCGTAACATTTTAGCTTGAGTTCAGAAAAGTTACAATAACATGATTTTCGTACGGTAAACTTTGTTTAAATTTTGCATACAGATGAACTTTAAGGTATATATCTGACCTATGATGTCAATTTTTAGGTTCCTTATAGTGCCCATTAGGGTGAAAATACCTTAAAACTCAACCCATGGTAAATCAAATATTTGTTTCTGGAAAATCCCAGAGTTTTCCAACCTTCGCCTTTCGTGCAGTAGTTCTTAACAAATTTGAACGATTTTGTTTCTTTAAGATAAATCATAAAATAAAAGCTATTATTTACATATTCAATTTAATTAACAATTGTTAGTTTTGCCGTTTCTTCATTTTCTTTATATGTAATTCTAACATTTTAGTTTATGATTGTTTTTTTGTTCGGCATTTTAGAATTTTGCTTTCAAATTTCATATTAAATTTTTTAATGCATTTCAAATGAAGCAGCCTTTCAAAATTACCTTTGGCGGCTAAAAACTAATAAAAAGGGATATATGAGAATATGTGTAATTTATTGCAAATATTCCTAAATTATGAAAAGAAAAAAAGAAAAAAAAGATATTAAAACATCGTGAGCAGGTGCACTTCTTATATTCTCAAATGTTGAACAATATAAAACTCCAGTTTCGCCAAGATCTTTTATATTGAACAAGATTTTGTTTTAGTTTTTTTTATTTCGTGTTTTTTAAATATACGTCGGATAGAATCTCTGTAACATCGTCTAAAAGGTTATTTGAATAGTAGTATCATTATTATTATTATTATTTTTATTATTATCATTATTATTATTGTTATTTATTATTATTTCATTACATACTTTTCGGTGGTTTATTGAAATATATGTTTGAAACAGTGAAATTATCAATTTGATAAATTCACTGTTTTGAATTTAAGCCCATTACGTTGTTTCAGTGAAGTACCAGCGTGCACAGTACTGGAAACCAACTTAATAACGTGACGTCGTAATTATTGGCGCGTTATTCACTTAGTATTAGGTAAAAATGTCCTTTTTAACGTTTGATTGCATATAATTAAAAGAAAATTTGTTTAGTTTAAGGTAAGATCGAGATATATTTCACCTCGTGAACACCAAAAGTTCACATTTCACTCGCGGCTGCGCCACTCGTGAAATATATCTTTTGGTGCTCACTCGGTGAAATATATTCCGATCTTACACTGTACTTAACAAATATCCTCTATATTATTATTATTTTTTATTATTATTATTATGTCGTCGTCATTATTATTATTATTATTATTTGAAAAAAACATCAAGTTTTTACAAGGGATACAAGTGATTTAAAAGCAATAAGTTATAGAACATTATAAATGATATACCTTGTTTTTTTGTTTGTTGAGGTGGGGTTTTCTTTTGTTTGTTTGTTTGTTGTTGTTGTTTTTGTTGTTTTGTGTGTGTGTGTGTGTGCTTTAATTCATTTGCAACGGAAATATAACTGTCAACATCTAACTAGTATTCGTTACAGTTGTATATCGAGGTTACCTTGTCGAACATTCACAAATGGGAGTCCGGCAACCGAGCCATTTTTACAATGTAGCTATGTATAAGAGTAAGAAAGTTAAAACAAAATACAGAGACCCCTATTTGAACACTAAAGAATCATTTTCAAAATCACTAGACACTGAGTTTAAATCAACGCAATACCTCAAGTGGTTAAAACATCAGCCTACTAGCAATTATCTAAGGTTTTTGTATTTGTGCTTTCGAATCCCGTTACTGGCAAGCCATTGATAGCTTGAGCAAAAACACTTACATGTATTACTCAATGCTTTGTAATTGGTGACAGGAAGCAGTGTATGCCTTTTAGTTTTTAGCTTTAATAACAATAAAAAAACAATCTGTATAAATTTAGTAAAAAGGTTGAAGTTTGAAACTTTACACAGGTAAGTGATGTATCGCTTTCCGTCAATAGAACTGGCCCGTACATTTGTTGCACGGGTACTTTTTGTCTGCCTGGCCAGCTTTTCTGTTTTGAAAATGTTTGTTTTTTCTTCAAAGGTTTGTGTCTAAAACTGTTAGAATCTGAGTATTTGTACATGCAAGACACAAAACAAGCAATATTGTGAAAAATGCCACCGGATGTCTTTAATTCAAATTTTTACATTTTTCACGTTAAACATTAGTCGGTGCTAATGGGCGTGGACGGTAGTTTGCACTTGACATTATTGTCCATGAACAGGCTCAAACAAACAATGCCTGTAACATTTTCAATTTGGCCGTTTTGGGCTTTCTGTAGGGATTCTTGTTTTATCTACTTTAAATAAGTAATGGTCAGGTCAAATGAAACTGATTGATGTTGCGCTGTAGGTATGTCGAAAGCTGAGTACGTCATACTATGTTGCCAGGCTACCTAATTTGTCTTTGTGAACGAACTTGAACTGCGTTTTTGACAGCTAGAACTATTCCTTGCCTTATATGAATTAATACTCAAACGTAACTTAATTGAATGCAACGTTCAGCCTTTTGTACTGTCCTCCAGCAACGCCATTGTACAGCACAGTCTGCGAGGTGTACACGACATAAACATTTTACGATGCAGGATTGGGCTTTTTCTTAATGTGCAACTTCGACTGTCGTTCTGGAGTAAACCGTGTTGTTTGCGAACGTTACCATGGTAGTTGTTTTATTTAATGACAGACATCTCCTCAAAAGAAAGCCGTTGAGGTAACCTGACCTGTCACGTGCTCTAGTGAGAATATTGAATGTTGTTCTCCTCGAAATTTTCAGTTCTCTTTTTGGCTCAATGAAAGATCATTGCCAACTAAGCATCGATTACAAATGACGGACATAATGGTATTGATTACAGAAATGTTACAAGAACGTCTAATAGTATGAAAATTGATCACTCCGCTCTCGAAGACGCTGCTTATTTACGAACAATGCAAATATACCTGCTGTTAACCTTCTACCTCATATAGGCTTGTTTTTACGGCATTTCAGCCTCAACTAGTGAAAAAAATGACCTATTTAGGCCCTAAACCCTGTTTTTCGATTGAGAAATGTTATTCAAAAAGTAATCACTTTTCCGGCACCGCAGTCCTATCAAAATGTGTCCCCTTCTGTTTTGGGGTTTGAGGAAAATTTTTGATTTGTGAGGGGCTAAAAAAGGACTCGGGTCAATCTTAAGTAACGTGTAACCAACGCTGAAAAGCCTTTAACTCTATCTTAATCCATTGAGAAGTTGCGGCAAAAAAATAGTTTTGATGGAAAACAAACAACGCAAAATTGTGATTTTCAGCTATTTTGAGACGTCCCCCGTTGCCATGGTAACAGGAAATTTAAGATTGAGCATGCTGTTACAAAGGCTATGGTCCAGTCAACAATTGTGCCAAGTTTGATTAGTATTTAAGCATTTTTATAGTTTCGTAGCAGTTTGAAGGAGGCTTTTCAATGAAAACAGTCATTTTTTGCAATATAATCATGCGGTAAAACGTTCGATTAAAGAGAAAACCATTTTCCTTTTTACTTTGGAAATTTCTTATGTATCTTATAGAATATTTTACTTTTGCACTGTTTCTTTTTTCATATAGTATACAGTGTAGTATGTTTTGTGCATAAGCGCATATCCTGTTTCATTGTTTTATAAGACAGTGTTATAATTTATAAAAAGGCATTTAATCAGAAATGAAACACATCGCAACATAGATACCGTTAAATCAGATATTTTATCCGAATCTAAGATTTCGTAAATTTTTGGATTCGTGAAAGTATCTGATTGTACTGAAATATGCATATTATCTTCACTTTAAAATACTGCACGATACCTGCTCAACTGGGCCGTCATAC